GCATGTCTTTCAGTGCCTTGGCCTGATGAACCTGCAGTAACGCCATAGCGTGTAAGGCAGAGGCAGCTTCTCCACAAGCCATATAAGCACCGCCGGTCAGACCAGATGAATGCCTACAGGCCTGGGAGGGGAGCGACGGGTTACCCTGCCAGGAGGAGGCGGTCTTAGGACACAACTGTGTCGCTACCAACCGCTCCACCAGGGGGTTTGCCGTATACCTCCTAGCTGCAGCCCCGTCGAGGGTGGTGAGGGAGGAGGAACCAGCAGGTCGGTTTCCAGCAGTAAAAGGTGCCATCCATGACCTGGTGAGCTCCTCATGCACCTCCGAGAAGAAAGGCACTGAGGCGGGGTGCTGAGAACCAGCGCGAGCCACTCCGAGAAACCAATCGTCCAACCTCGAGGGCCCGGGACGTGGTGGAGGTTTCCACTCGAGCCCTACCCTCTCGGCGGCCCAGGATAGCATAGCCGACATCTCTGGATCCGATTCAGGCCTTGCCACCTTCCCGGAGGGCGGCAACGCAGCCGAATCTTCCTCTCCAGAGAGCTCTCCCTCCGATGCAGTGATCGACATCCGGTCGTCGGGAGGAGCACTGAAGGATACCGCTGGTACGCTCTTTGAAGAGGGCCTAGCACGTTCCTTTGGTGGCTCAACTGGTGTCGAAGCGCTAGAGGAGCGATGGTCCCCCAAGGGTTGGTTCCCTGAGGGGTTTGACACCACTGTAACCCTCAGACCGCCCGTGCAACTGCCCGAAGTAGTCCACGCCTGGCTGCCGCCAGGACGAACAATAGATCGCGGCAGAGGCAACGGAGCTCCGCCCCCCTGGAGGAAACGGAGCCTGGCCCGCAGCTCCGAGATGGTCATCTCCCCGCAATGGGAACATGACTCATTCACGAACGCCACCTCAGCATGTTTAATGCACAGAAACGTGAGGCAGCGATCGTGACCATCACCCGCCGCCAGGTAACGACCGCATCCAGAAACGCACGGGTTAAACGGCATCTTTAAAAAGACGATCCATCGTCTTTACAAAGACGCACCCATGTAAGCTCTTTTAGAGCAATAGGCTCTTTCAGGGAAATGCTCTTTTAGGTGCTGAGACGCACAGGGGAAATGGCCCCATCCCGGGGCCTCTTGCTCTTTTGCTCACTGCCAGGTTTGACGGGGGTCTAGACAGGTGGGGCGGCCTGCCTACGCCCAGCTCCACGGCGCCGCTTGCTGGAGGCTGCTGCGGATGTG